GGCCCCCCTCCCCTGGGGGCTGCCCCCTGTGGGTTAGGGGGCCCGGGAGGGTGTGGTGGCCGGGGGTACGAGAGGGGGGGTTACCTGTCTCTCCGGCGCAGCCACGTTCTTGCGCTCGGGCCCCCACGTGTCGCCATGGAGGGGGTTCCACAGCCCAGGCTTGGGCTGCTGGTAGTGGGGGGCTCCTGGGGGGGGGCTGTCCAGTCACGTTCCCGCTCTGCTTGGGGGGTGGGGAGAGGGGGTGAGCGGGGCCGGGCTCTGCCCTGCACTCAGCCCTGGGCAGCTCAGGGGAGACCCCCCCACACCTTGGGGATCCGCCTCCCCCTCCCTACATCCCCCCTGGGATCCCCCGCCCCCCGCTACCTGCCCCGGGACCCCTCCCCCTCCCTTCCCCACATCCACCCTGGGATCCCCCACCCCTCCCCCGCCTGCCCCTTGAGTCTCCTCCTCCACCTGCCCCTGGGACCCCCTCCCCCTCCCTTCCCCACAACCACCTCGGGAACTCCCTCCCCCTCCCCCGCCTGCTCCTGGGGTCCCCCTCCCCCACTCCTCTGCCCCCCCCCCCCAGGCTACCTGCTCGGGGCTGGCGCTCCTCCTCCTCTTCATGGGGCTGGGCAGCTCCTCGCTGTGCCCGGGGTGGGGTGGGTGCTGGGCGGGGGGAATGGGCTGCACCACGGGAGGCTCCATGGGGGGCGCCAGCCGCTTCAGCTGGGGGCTGCGCTTGGCTGAGAAATTCCGCTTCTGTGGGGGGCGGGGGGAGAAGATATGGGGGGCGGGGGGGTGAGAGCCACACCCTTGAACCAACCCCAGCCCCCTGGGTGGGGGAGCCAATCCTCCCCCCCCCGCAGCAGCCACCCCCCCACCCCCCTCCCGCTGGTCCCCCCAGGGGCATCCCTCCCCCGCCAGCTCTCCCACAGGTCCCCCCACCCCCAGGGGCACCTCCCCCGCCAGCTCTCCCACAGGTCCCCCACCCCCAGGGGCACCCCCCCCCCCCGCCAGCTGCTCACCTCGAGGTGCAGGAGGTTCCACACCTGCTGCAGGGGGGGCAGGGCCTTGCTCCGGTGATGGGACGAACCCGAGTGGAAATTCCACAGCTGAGCCTGGCGGGGGGGGGGGGGGGGGGGGCGGGGGCCGGGGGGGGGGAGAGTCCGGCGCCAGGGTGACTGACTCACCTCCCACCTCCACCCCACCAGCACCTCCCTGACCGGTACCCTCCTCCCACCGCCTCCCACCCCCCATCTGTCCAATGGGCCAGTCCAGCCCAGAACCCCCCTCCCCCAATCAATCCAATGGACTCACCCGGCCCAGAACCCCCCTCCCTCAATCAATCCAATGGGCCCACCAGGCCCAGAACCCCCCTCCCCCAATCAATCCAATGGGCCCACCCAGCCTAGAACCATCATCCCCGATCAGTCCAATGGGCCAGTTCGGCCCAGAACCTCCCTCCCCCAATCAATCCAATGGGCCAGTCGGGCCCAGAACCCCCCTCCCCCAATCAATCCAATGGGCACACACAGCCCAGACCACCCACCCCCACCCCCGCTCAGGCCAATGGGCCCACCCAGCCTAGAACCATCATCCCCGGTCAGTCCAATGGACCCGTCCGGGCCAGAACCACCCTCCCCCGATCAGCCCCATGGACCTATCCGGCCCAGAACCCCCCCCCCCGATCAGGCCAATGGGCCAGTCCAGCCCAGAACCCCCCTCCCCCAATCAGCCCCATGGACCTACCCGGCCCAGAACCATCATCCCCGGTCAGCCCAATGGACCCACCCGGGTGTTGCCAACTCCACATAGCAGTCGCTAGGTGTCGCTGTCTAAGCTCTCAAAAGAAGCCAACAATGTCACTGAACAGAATTTCCAGAGAATTACACAGAGAACGACACCCACGCACCCATGCACACACTCACGCACACACCCACAGCCAGGCAAGTACAGTCACAACATCATTCACAAGCAGCTCGATCGTGTTCATCAAATCCGATCCGTGCTCTTCTGGGTGGTTAATTTCAGCCGAGCCTCCTTTGCTTGCCAGGCAGGGCCCAGAGCCCGGGGTGTTCATCTGACCTGAGCTCGCCTGACATGAGCTCGTTCGCCTGACCTGACCTGAGTTCGCCTGACGTGAGCTCGTTCGCCTGACCTGAGCTCACCTGATGTGAGCTCGTTTGCCTGACCTGAGCTCGGTTGCCTGACCTGAGCTCGGCACTGCAGCCGGCCCAGTAGATTTAAAAATAAAAATCCGCTAGCCGGACCCCTTCCCAGTCCCCGCCTGCTTCCAGGGTGTGATTTCCGACAACAGCCGGGCAGCTACGCCCAGGGGACAGAGAAAAGGGGAGCCGAAATCAAGCTAGCTCCACTTTTGATCCTGCAGAAAGGGCTTCCGCCCTGGAGGCACGGGGCCCCCTCCCCCACCGGGGCCCATGGCCCTGTCTCATCCCACCCCGCCGTCCGCCCGTGCCAGGCTCCTCGCTTCCTAGCCTCCGGTTCCAACTACGGAGCGGTGAGAAAGACGACGTCTGGGTGCGAACGGGCCGCCCGCTCCCAAAGCACGCCTGGCTTGAATTAGCCCCCCCACAAATGTCTTTCCCTCGCCTGCGAGTTCTGGTGACCTCAGCCCAGGAGACGTAACATTGCCTGGGCGTGTGACGGATGGTTGACGAGTGCGCTCGAGCTGCTGGTGAACGCTTCGGCGGACGGCGATGGTGATTTCTCACTGCACAGGCAGAGATTTCGCACGGGGTCACTGGCAGACGGATTTGCTCACGCGGGAAAACCAAGAACTCACTAAACCTCGTGACGAAGCCCGGAACCACCACGTCCGATCCATGCAAAGGGCCTCTGGGCCCAGACCCCCGCCCCAGATCACTGCAACGGGCCGCTGGGCCCAGACCCCCCCACCCCAGATCAGCGCAACGGGTCCCAGGGCTGCCCCACCTGCTGCAGGCGCCCGATGCGGGCGCTGATCTCGCTGTAGTTCCCATAGTCGCGCTGGTAGCGGGCCGCATTCTGGTAGCACCGCACGGCCTCCTCCCAGTCCTGCTCCGACTCGTAGACCTGCCCCAGCTGCTCCCACAGCTGCGGCTGCACCGGGTCCCGCAGCAGGGCCTGCACGCAGCCGTGGATGGCCTCCAGCTTGCCATGCAGGGGCCGGGGGGCAGAGCTCCTGCGGGGGCGGCAGGGACCACGTCAGACTCAGCGCGCCCGGCGGGGGGGGGGGGGGGCGGGGGCGCCTGGGTTCTCTCCCTTGCTCGGGGGGGGGGGGGGGGGCTAGTGGTTAGAGCAGGGGGGGCTGGGAGC